CTTGGGTGGAGGGGGGCAAATTCCGCTCCCCGCCAACCTACGCCTCCTAGGTTCAAGCGATTCTCCTGCCTCAGCCTCCCAAGTAGCTGGGACTACAGGCGTTTGCTACCATGCCTGGCTAATTTTTGTATTTTTAGTAGAGATGGGTTTCACCATATTGACCAGGCTGGTCTTGAACTCCTGACCTTGTGATCCGGCCGCCTCGGCCTCCCAAAGTGCTGGGAGTACAGGCGTAAGCCACCGCACCCGGCCCTAGCTGTGGTTTCTTAAGAGCATGTGAACTAAAGCCAGACAACTTACACTTCAGAAGAAAGTAACAGTAGGCCAGGCGCGGTGGCTCAAGCCTGTAATCCCAGCACTTTGGGAGGCCGAGACGGGCGGATCACAAGGTCAGGAGATCGAGACCAGCCTGACTAACATGGCGAAACCCCGTCTCTACTAAAAAAATACAAAAAACTAGCCGGGCGAGGTGGTGGGCGCCTGTAGTCCCAGCTACTCGGGAGGCTGAGGCAGGAGAATGGCGTAGACCCGGGAAGCGGAGCTTACAGTGAGCTGAGATCCGGCCACTGCACTCCAGCCTGGGTGACAGAGCAAGACTCCGTCTCAAAAAAAAAAAAAAAAAAAAGAAGAAAGTAACAGTAACCTGTTTACATACATAAGCCACTTTCATACCTGCCTACCAGTGTATGGACTACAGAGTAACGTGGCCTATATTTTTCCAGGATTTTTTTTTTGGAGACAGAGTTTCACTCTTGTTGCCCAGGGTGGAGTGCAATGGCAGGATCTCAGCTCGCTGCAACCTCCACTTCCTGGGTTCAAGTGATTCTCCTGTCTCAGCCTCCCGAGTAGCTGGGATTACAGGCATGAGCCACCATGCCCTGCTAGTTTTTTGTATTTTCAGTAGAGATGGAGTTTCTCCATGTTGGTCATGCTGTTCTCGAACCGCCGACCGCAGGTGATCTGCCCGCCTTGGCCTCCCAAATTGCTGGGATTACAGGCATGACCCACCCCGCCAGGCCTTGGATTGTTCTTTTGCTGTTTTTTTTTCTCCCTTCCTCCTCCCTATTTTTCTCTTCACTGCATGAGACTTTACAACCTGCTAAAAATGAGCTTTCAGGACCTACCTATCTAGCAATGAGAGATCAGATGAAACCTGAGACCAGATACTCATTTTCTTGCAAAATGCTTTCTCCAAAAGATTTTTAAAAAGAAAATGGGGTAAATATGAAAGGAAAGTATCCTGGGCCTCTTCAAGCTAGGAACTGCTCAGGGCAAATCTGCCTCCCATTCTATTAAGGTCATCCTTTTGCTCACAGAGATAGATGCATATTCTGATTGCCTCCTTTGGAAAGACTTACCAGAAACTCAAAAGAATGCAACCATCTGTCTCTCACCTATCTGTGACCTGGAAGCCCCCAGTGCTTTGAGCCTGGGAGCCTTGATTTGAGCAGTCTCCCCCTTTCTTTCTGGAACTAATGTGCTTCTTACATAATGATTAATGTCTCATGTCTCCCTAAAATGTATAAAGCCAAGCTGTGCCCCAACTGCCCTGGGCACTTTGTCGTCAGTACTTCCTGAGGCTGTGTCACCGGCAAGTCCTCAACCTCGGCAAAATAAACTTTCTAAGTTAACTGAGACCTTTCTCAGATTTTCTGGGTTCACAGCTGATTCAGAAGCTGGTTATTGACACCTGCTATGTGCTTGGGCCGAGACTTGCCTGCCAGAGTGGGGTGAAGGAAACACCATGTCCCTGCCCAAGTGAAAGTGCTGCCTGGATCTGAGTCAAGTCTGAGACTGAGCCACTGCAGCCAGGCCACCCCTGGCACGGTGGCCACTGAAGCAGTGAAACTCACAGTTAACTACCATCTGGGCTTGGTCCTCCAGGCTGCCTGGGATAGAAAAGCTGGCAGGGCTGAGGGAAAGAAGGGCCCAGGGTGCTGGGGACAGCATGAGACTTGTACACAGGATCAAGCCCCAGAAGTGGTGGCTGCTGATCCTGTTCAGGAAGCAGGGTCCCAGAGTGATGACCATGTAGGACCAGAGAGCCTGGCACAACTCTTGAGGGCTGAGGGAGCAGAACATCAAGGCAGCCCCCGGCCCCTCTCCTCGAGGATTCATGCCACCTCCTGGTGCCCCCAGAAACCTAGTGCTGCAGTTGGCACGATCCAGGCAACCACCAGGCCAGCATTCTCCAGCTGGCCTCAGTCCAAGGGAGAAGCTCTAATGGTGGAACCACAGGAAGAAGCCGAGGATGCCTGAAACCCTCTTCCACCCCAGGGCCCTGCCCACAGGCCTGCTCCTACTGGGCTGGTCCAGTAGGATTGGTTCAAGTGGTGTGTGTGCGTGCATGTGTCTGGGGCCCATCAGCTTGATGGTCCAGTCCTGCCTGCTGTCTCTGGCTGTGCAACACTTCAGACCTCTGAGCCGCATCACTCCCCATTACTTTACTCCTACCCACTCCCTGTCTTCCCCACAGGACAGTGCTGGCTCTCCCTGAGTTGCACTTTCCCTAGGACTGTCTTTTAGGTCCTCTGGGGGAAGAAATGGAGGTTCATAAAGGTTTATATGGAGGGGGTCACAGCTCGATGGGTACTGGTCACAGCTGTGCAGGAAAGGTCGCAGTTGTGGAGGAGTCACAGCTATTTGGAGAAGGTAACAGTGGTGTGGGGTCACACATGGGAGGGGTTACAGGTATTCAGGGGTCATAGCTAAGTGGGAAAGGTCACAGTGGTGTGGTCTGGATCACCTGTGTGTGTTGGGTGTGGGTGGGGTAGCTCAGAGGTATGCATGGGTCACGTGTGTGGGGGAGGTCACAGGTGCAGGAAGTCACAGGTATGGGGGACAGGCCACAGCTCCTTTCTCCTTTCCTGCTCTCCCTTTGCTGAGCACCATTATCTTATTGTGGCAACTTTTTTTTTTGAGTCAAGAGTCTTGCTCTGTCACCCACGCTGGAGTTCAGTGGCGCAATCTCCGCTCACTGCAACCTCCTGGGGTCAAGTGATTCTTGTGTTTCAGCTGCCCAAGCAGCTGGGACTACAGATGTGCACCACCAAACCCCGCTAATTTTTTTTTTTGAGATGGAGTCTCACTCTGTCGCCTAGGCTGGAGTGCAGTGGCGTGATTTCGGCTCACTGCAACCTCCATCTCCCGGGTTCAAGTGATTCTCCTGCCTCAGCCTCCTGAGTAGCTGGGATTACAAGCAGGCACCACCATACCCGGCCAATTTTTGTATTTTCAGTAGAGATGGGGTTCACCACATTGGTCAGGCCGGTCTCTAATTCCCTGACCTTGTGATCCGCCTGCCTCGGCCTCCCAAAGTGCTGGGATTAGAGGCTGAGCCACTGCGCCCGGCTGTCCAGCTAATTTTTGTATTTTTAGTAGAGGCAGGGTTTCAGCACGTTGGCCAGGTTGGTCTCAAACTCTTGCCCTCAAGTGATCCACCTGCCTCAGCCTCCCAAAGTGCTGGAATTACAGGAGTGAGCCACCGTGCCCGGCCCATCATTTTATTGACCAACACCTGAATCTTCTCTCCAGCCTGGCCTCCCCCACCATGGCCATGAGCACCTGGGACTCCTCTACTTCTGTGTCCACCTCATTCTTCACTGCGTGAATTTACCACATCACCTTTCCAGTGCTACCACCTCACTCTCTCCTCTCCATTCTCTACCCATTAGAGGTGAGGGAAGGATGTCTTTACAGCCTGGGTTGGCACTGACTTGGCCAGGCTTGTTTTTCCCATCTGGCATCTTGGTCTTTGCATCTAGTGTACATCTACCTCTATTTTGTCACTCCCACAAGGACAGGGGTCTGTGTTGGTGTGGTTCACAGATGCATCACAGATGCATCCCCAGCACCTAGCCCAGCACAGGCACACTGCGTGCTCAGCATTTACTGAATGAGTGAGGCAGTCTCCACCATTAGGCGAAGTCAGGCCTGGTGCTGTTCTAGGGCTGTCCCTCCTGCCTCTGTCCACAGCAGCCCCTAGGCCACACCCCAGCTGTGAACTGTTCACCTTCACCCTCTCCAGCTTCCTTTAGCCTCTGCCCAGGATTTGTTCCCGAGCATCGAGCTGCTGCCCTCACCTTTCAGAACCCAATGTGGGAAGCATCTCTAAGGGCACCACCCCTGCTCCCCTGCTGCTGGCTGCCCTGGCCACTCAATGGCTTCTTGAGTCTGTCTCCCTAGAGCCAGAGCCTCCTGAAGCAGGGCTGCATGGTGAGTCATCACGGACATGGGCGGGACCCCAGGTTGGGGGTTGCTGGCTGAGGGGAGGGGCAGAATGCACTCCTGTCAGAGGCAGGGCTAGTGAAGCAGCTCAGAGCTGGTCTGGCAACTCCAGCTGCTCCTTCTTTCCTCAGGGACAATCAGAGACTAGCCATATTCTCTCACAGCCAGGACGGAGCAGACCTTAGAAGATGTTCCTGCTCCCAGGCCCAAGATGCCACCTCCCAGCCCCATCAGGCATCTCCAGAATGGGACAGGGACTGAACCTCAGGATTCAGATCCCAATCCCCTGCCCACCTCCCACCAGATCCGAGGGAGGGCTGTGACCCTGATGAGAGGTGTATGTGGCTGGTGTCTACTGCCCTTGGGAGCAGGGACTGGAGGAGACACCCTTGCCTGTGGGAACAGCAGGGAAGATCAAACGTTTCTCCCTGGGTTGGCAAGGAGGCTGGCACTGGTCCAGCTAAGACAGGGGCAAGTGGCAGAAACACAATGAGCCCCGTCCCTCACACAAGGCTGGGCCTGACTCCCTTGCAACCAATACGGAGAAAGCAAGATCACTGGTGTTGGGATGGAATGTGGGTCCCCCCACTCCCAGTGACTCATGCTCCAGCAGAACAGCTCCAGAGTGGGCACCTCTGGGCCCCCAGTCTTGGTGAATACATCTTACACGAGAAGTCCCCAGCAGAGGGTTTCATAGAGACAGAGCTGAGCTCAAACCCCATGAGAGATTCTGGAATCTCTCACACACTCTAGCCCACATACAAAATCCAAGCAGAGAAGCAACTGTTTTATGTTTAATTTACAAAAGAGACCCCAAAATAATAATAATAAACTATCCAGGGCAAGAGAGTAGGGTCAGGTCCTCCCTAGCCCAGCTGTACCCTCCTTCCCCTCTGGCAGGGAGAGAAGGGGCCTCCCAGGGGACTTCCCCTCCCCCTTAGAACAGGGGGCTGCGAGCTGGTATGGATGTCCTCCTGGGCTTCGTGGGGGCTCTGCCCACTCCAGACTCCAGTTTGTCCACCCCCTGCAGGATCCTACATGCCTAAGAGAGCCCTTGTGGTAGAGGCCAGCTTGCTGGGCAGCTAGGCAGGAGACCCCTACAAGGTCCAGGTAAAGGCCAGGGCTGCCAGAGCCAGCAGACTGGTGAGGTGGAACCCAGCCCAGGCCTCACTGGCACCCCCAGCTGCCTGCCTATGGTCCCACTGGCATTGCTCACCACTCCAGCCCAAGTAGCACTGGCAGCGGAAGTGTGTCTGCAGGTGGTCAAGGTCGGCCCAGCTGAGCTCCCCGACAGGTCGCAGCTGGGGTTCACCGGGTGCGTGGCTAGGCACTAGGCGGAAGCTGTTGGTGCTGAGATGCAGGAAGGTACTGGCACTGGGGTTGCGGCGCACACAGCGTCCGTGGCCATGGCACTGGGCCCGGCTGCAATATTGGGTGGCCCAGGACACATTGACCACGTAGGGGACCAGCAGCCGTGTCAGGTAATCCTTAAGATACTGGCAGGTCTCCTGGAGGCAGAAGCCAAGGACCACAGGTCAGGGTCAGTGACCTCAGCCCACAGGCCCAGATGGAAACTGTGTCCACACTGTGATGACTATGCCTTATTTTAACTGCACACATTTATACATTCAATCTGCACCTGAGCCACACAGTCCCTGCTCCTGCCGAGAAGTGGGTGGGGGCAGAGACCGGAACCCTGTTGGGCAGATGGGGAAGGGCGGAACTCAACAGCTGTTCAGGAAAGCATTTCCTCTTTCCTGAGAGCAGGGTGGGGGTGACCTCCTTCTCTGTCGTGACCAGGGATGCCTTGGGTGGGAGACAGACAAGGGGACTAGACTAGGATTGCCCACCTGAGATTGGTGGCCAAAGGCGCTCTCTGCCTGTCCTGTAGACTGAGCTCTAGCAGGCTGGGTCTCGCTTACCGTGCTTGTGGTGTACCCTGCGTCGCCCCAGAGGATGACACCAGCCGCGCCCAGGGCTGCACTCTCGCCAATGGTAGAGATGAGGTCCATCTATGCAGGAAAAGGGATGGTCACTGGGGAAGACTGAGACCACAGGATGAGAGGAACAGATGGGGAGGGCAGGCCCCAGCCTGTTTCAACCTACTGAACTCACAGCTCTACCCCCCTTTCACCTCCAGGCAGAGGCTCATCTGTTTCCTTTTTAAATGTTTAAGTCCATTTCCACCCCACTTTTGGGCCTCAGTTTCCCAAGCCAAGGCACACTTGAGCCTAGGTGCAGCTATCAAGATGGATTCCAAAGTTAGAAGGCCTGGGCCCCAGTCCCAGCTCTGCTCTGGATTTGCTGGGAAGCTTTGGGCAAACTTCTCAGCATCTCTGTGCCTCAATTGTTCTCATTTGAAAAATGGGGATAATGATGTCGCCCTTTCAGGTTACAGAGAGAATGATTTGATGGAATGTGGAGCAGCCAATAAACTACAGACATAGTCCTATCGTGGCCCCTGATAACCCAAATGTGCAGTGGATCCTCAAGGAGAAAAAAGGCAGGGCCCTGGAGACACATACCTCACTAAGCCCCGTGAGCCTGCGGCTATAGGTGGGCCGTGTGAAGACGTAGACTGGGAGTGCATGGTTGGCATGGTGGGTTCGAGCCACACGAAGGGCCTCCTGAACACGGAAGCTCACAAAGTTGCGGCCATGGCGGGAGGAAGCAAGTGTCTCGTCCAGGTAGACAGACGGGAAGAGGGCCGTGCTCTCAGCCCACAGCCAGGCCAGCTGGTCATTGCGAGCCACCTCAACATCAGGACAGCGGCCTGTGTAGCTCTCCCAGTTCTGCACATAATCATGATTGTAGCAGTCAGGAAAGAGGTAGAAGCCCCAGAGGTGCCGGGGCCGCACTGCCTTGACATAACGCAGTGTCTCCAGCATGAACTGCTGTGCTGCGAACTCAAACTCATATTGTGCCTGTTTGACTATGCGGTCTGGAGGCCAGTCAGGGTGACGACTGGCCACCAGCTGGCGTGATGACCGGCGGTACACATCTTTGTCCTGCCAGTTGCGTACCCACACAGGTCGCCAGTCCTCCCAGTCGATGACTGCCAGCCCCTCAGACTCCTGTGTCCGAATGTAGTGCTCCACACGTTTCTGCAGCATCTTCCGGTGTGCCCAGAGGCTGACATTCTGTGGCACACCACCATGCACAGACCTTCCCGCGGAATCGAAGCGTGGATACAGGCCTAGACGGTCGCGGTAGAAGATGGTGATATTCTGGTTCACAAAACCCTCATTAGGTGAGGCCTGCACATCAAAGGCATTCAGGTCCAGTGGCACCTTGAGGCGTGGGCCACAGTCCTGTGTGGGCACATCCCACGCTACCACAAAGGGCCGGCCTGTGAAGATGGGTGGTGCTGTGGGCTTGAGCTCCATGGCCCATGCCACCGCCAGCACCAGGGCCAGTGTAACGGCAGGGCCTGGGCCTGCCCGCATGCTGGGGGCTGCAGGAGGTGTCACCTGCCTGGCACCAGCTCAGGAACTGGAAGAAGGGTGGGGGAAAACAAGTCAGTCTAGGGAATCCTCTAAGTGCCCCCCTCAAGCCCATCTATGCTCCCAAAGCCCATGCTGTGTGGGGGCACTGTGCTCATGGCTGTAATAGGTTTGAGAGACCACAGGCCACTGCAGGGCAGGCAAGGCACCCTGGGAACTCACTGCCAGAAACACAGGGTTCCTTCCTGGAGCAGGTAGCCTATGACTCGGGAGAAATCTCTATTAGGTCTGTGACCCTTCTCAGAACTAGATAATCTAGGCTCACCAGAGTGAGCATGTACTGCATACCATCCAGTATATGGTTTCAGAGAACCCTGAACCCCTGATGCCCACCCTGTACACTGTGAAGAACCCTTGATCCAGAGAAACTATAGCATTTGGGTAAAGCAGCGAACAGCTCATTCAGAGGATAGGAAGCTGGAAGGAACGCAGCTGCGAGGCTTCTATCCGTGTAACACCCGCCCGGCAGAAGAGTGAGGCTGTCCGGACTTTCGAGCGCTGACACTCTCCCGGCTTGGAGGAGGCCCCGCGGGGACAAAGGGGCAGCGGACCTCCCACGGCGGCGCCGGCCGACCGGCCCGTGCCTCCACCGCCACCGGGAATGCGCGCGCCCGCCTCCCCCGCCCGGCCGCTCAGGGCTAGAGCGCGCTCCGCCGGGTCTTTGTGCGGGACCCCGCCCCCGCCCCGCACGTGGGGCCAGCGCCGGGTCGGGTGGGGGTGGGGTTTGTGGGACGCCTCTCCGCGAGCGCCCCCGGGGATTCAGACCCCAGCCCAAGGGGAGAGAGCCGCCAGGTTTGCACCGCCCGCCCTCACCTCGCGCGGGGCGCCACCGGGACCCGCGCCAGGGACACCGCCATCCCGGGCCCAGCCCAGCCCTCTCCGGCCGTTCGCCCAGGCGCGGCCCCGGCTCAGCGCCTCTGCTGGCTCCGCCCCTAGGCCCGCTGGCCCTTTAAGACTCCAGTGCGGAGGTGGGCCGGGGACTGGACTTGCGGCCGAGGCGGGAAGGTGTGTTTCACCTTTCTCGGTGCCGGTGCCGCGTTTCGGGCTCGAAGATCCCCAGGTCCTCTGCAGAGGAACGTAGCCACCCATCTGGGACCCTAATGCCCCTCTGAGCAGGGTTTTCTCTGGGGGTCTCAGCCACGAGCGTAAGTCAGCCTGAAATGTTCCCCCTGCAGCCCAAGGCTGGTGGTTCAGTCCTACCCACTCCGCGGCGCCGCCAGCCCCTTAAAGAGACAGTGTGAGGGACGGGGCAGGGGGACGGGGAGAAAGGTGGGGGAAATGGGGGGAGGCGTTGTCCCGCTCGACCATCAGGAGGTGCTGCTGTACTCCGAGGTTGGCGGGGGGGCAGCAGCAGATCTGGCTCTGCACCCCCGAACGTAGACGCCAGCCATGGGGCCCCTTTGTGTGGAAAAAGGGACTTGACCTGAGGCGACCTCTGGTCTCCTGGACAGTAATGCCCCGCCTCCCACGAATCAGGGGCCCCCTTGTCAGGTCCGCGGTGTAAAGGGAGGCCCCGCCCCCTGCAAGACTGAAGGAGGGGGCCAAGCACCGCTTCTTAGCACGCCGGGGAAGGGCCGAGGCAGTCGTTATCCTGGCAACCCGGCTCTAGGTCGCGGCGTGGCTAGTAGGGGTTGGGGCAGGGAAGCTCAGAGGGGTCTAGGAAGTTGGCCGCCCCCTCTCCCTGACTCGCATCAGGGAGGGCCAGTCATCCCTGGGATCCCGTCCTTTTCTGCCCAGGTCCTTTGGGAGCCCGGCTCCCTCTCAACCCCGAGGAGGTCCCCATCCCCTGCAGCAGTTTCTGGTTGTACCTCCAAGAAAGCCAGCAAGAGGGGTCTCCCAGGGCCTCCATCCCGTATCCAGCGACCCCTACGCTCCACCGGCCCCTCCCGGTGGGGGGCAGGCTTAGAGCTGGACCCTGGCGAGCCCCGTGCGAAACCACATCGGCTCTTCCTACGTCCGCTCCCCAGTGCGAGACTCAGCTCCCCAAAGGGCCCACGTCTGCGCCACCAGCCCCTAACCCTCCCAGGCGCCAGGAGAGGGAGGGAGTGCTGTGGGGGTGCAGACCAGCCGTCTGCGCTGGGCTCACCTGTGTGGGAGTCCGTCGGCCCAGTCGGTCGGCGGCCTCCCTCCTTCCTGGGGTGAGCCTCTCCAGCTAGGCTACTTGCGCTAGTTGCTGCCCGTTGGGCAGCCCGTCGAGGACTTGATAAACCCCATTCCCTCCCATCCGCTCCCGCCTCCCATCCCAGCCCTTTCTCCTCACTTCCTGCTGCCCCCTGAGAGGAAAGGGCCAGGAACAGGCGCGGGGGAGGAGATCGCCTTGACCCTGTTTCCCTCCAGAATGCCCTGCTGGCTGGCTGCCATCCCCACCCTTCCCCAGTAGGATCTGGTCCCACTAGCTGCGCCAGGTGACAGGAAGGCTATGGGCTCAGGATCAGGTGCCAATCTCCCCCACACCCACAGCTTCCAACACTAGGGAACCTCTTCACTCCTTCCCTAGGGTTGGGGCCCATCCTCAAATCCAGTAGGGTGTGAGAGGATGGGGTCAGGTGGTGGTGCTTTTGAGAGTCAAAATACTTGGGGTTGTTCAGCTGAGGGTCCCCCAGAGCAGGTGCCAAAGAAGGGAACTAGCCTTGGGAGGAGGGTCGGGGGGACTTCCAGTAGCTGAGTCCATTTTTTTCCACTGAGAGCTTCCGCATCCTGTGTGACAGGACAATGTGTTGGTGTGACTGTGTGGGTTGGGAAGGAGGGGACCAGCTGGGAGGGTTCTGCCGAGTGCTTTCCTGCTGGAGTTCATCCCTGGGTGTATTTCAGAGTTCACTACACAGAGTAGGGGACTCCTTACAACATGGATGAGGAAAGGGGTATATTCCTCTGGGAGGGGTATTGCTGTGGCTGGCCCTAGGGAGGACTGCAGCGAGGTTCCAGCAGACCTCTCCAGGGGTGCAGACAAATCTACCTACCCTCAAATCACCCAGAGCCAACCCCTCAGCAACCCAATGGCCCAATGCCCAGGAGCCTCTCCCGCAACAGAAGGCTGTGTGAGGGTTAGGTGAATGCCCTGGAGTCTGGCCCTGAGGACCAAGGAGTCCATGACATGGTAGGGGAAGGTGCAGTGTCCCTGTACTACTGTGCTGGCTTCACAGGGGTCAGAGGCCTTGGAAGCTCCATGGGTGGGGACCCCTGGGGAAACAAAGGCTAGGCCAGACTGTCCCAGGGCAGGGACACTTCCTTAGGCAGTCAGCAGGAAGGAAGTGAGCACAGCCCAGCGGGAGAGAGTGGGGAAGTGCTGCCTGACCTCCATTGTTTCCAGTGTTGGGGTCAGCTGGGCAGGCCCAGCACAGGGAGTTCCCCCAGGCTGGGACAGTGGTGGTAGGAGATAGGATGCTATCTGGCATGGGAGAGCCCTGGGCCTTGAACAGCCAGTAGAGGGGGACCATGGAGGATGACAGGGCCTCATGTTTGGCATCCTATGGGGGGTATGGGGAGGCACCCCACAGAACTGCAAGTCCAGGCTGGATATGGGGATCCTGCTCTAGGCTTGACAAATTCAAACCTCCAAAAGACTGGCAGACCAACTCCCTATAGTCAGAAGCCTGTCCCTGAACTCTCTCCTCTCTAACTGGGAATTGGACTGATAGTCAAAGGCTAAGCCTAGCAGAGAATCTGCGTCATAGAAGCCCCTGAGAAGTGCAGGCAGAATGACCACAGTGGGCAGGCTGCAGGTGGTGACAAGATGGGGGCAACAGAGAGCAGGGGCAATACTGGTGGGCTGAGCCTTGCTTGCTGAAACATAAGACTGAGCTCATTCTCCCATGGTGTCCACAGGCAGGCCTCAGAGAAGGCACATGAATTTGGGTTGCTGAGCCTGGCAGTAGGCCAAGGGTGTAGGGACACCTATCTGGCTGCTGTCCATTAAAGTTGGGCTTTTGAGGTCCATGGGGGTCAGGCCATGACCCCACTTAGGGTCAGCTGGCAATTCTGCAGCTAACACAGATATTCCAGAACTATCTGGGGTCACACTCTCTCACCTTAGGTCAGGCAGGTAGGGCCAATCCTCAGTGAAGTATCCCAGGGCCTTCTGATTCCAAGGGTCACCACCACATGGATCACAACAGTAAGTGAGTGCCCTCCCACCCTGCAGGAGGCCTGCAGTGAGGTCTGTGTGAACACACAGCCACCTGCTGGCCACAGCTGGGATGGCCAAAGGCTGAGCTCAGACTTACCCTTGGGCTTTGCTGGTCATAGGGGGCCTGCCAGAGTCCTGTGCCAGGCCTACCTATTGAGCCCAGGTGGTAGTCTAGACACTGGGTGTCACAGCCCCACAGGATGCCACTCTCATGTGCAGGATCTACAAATCATTTTATTGAAATTGAACAAATAACACAACAGTCTTCCTAGGCTGGGGGCCATCTTCCCCAAGCCACTTCCCACATTCTAGAAGCACAGAGCTTGCACAGTACTTAAAAAAAAAAGTCACCTCTATATAGAAATCAGACTCTGCCACGACATCATCATGGACTATTTACAAACCTTCACATTATAAGTATTCCTTTTATGGTTTTTCTCTCCTTTCTTTCCCTACCCAGGGGCTCTAGTACTTTCCCTTGACTGATCCTGAAGGGGTGGCGGTTACTGTAAGGGAGGGGGTGGTAGGCTACTCATAACTACTGGCACCAGCCTTAGGGTGTTGTCCCTTACCACAAGGTGGTGAACAGTCCCCTCCCAATTGGAGGTGTGGAGGATTTGGTGCAAAGCCATGGGGATTAGACAGAATAGGTGGGTTGGAATAACTCCCCATAGGCACAAGCATCCGCAGCATGTCCTGACCCCTCTCAATTCCTCAACTGGGTGTTTGGGGTGGGGGGGGAACAGTTAGTTGCAGTAGGGGGATCAGCCCAGCCCTGGGTAGAGGGAGAAGCCCCCACCCAGTCCCTACTCCTATCAATAGCCAGCAAACTGTCCATCCATCTGAAGGCGGGAACAAATGGCAGGTAGGTTGGAAGAATCAGGCTGGCACTGCCCCCAGCCTCTGTCCAACACAGGAGGAATCGAGGTAGCAAACGGCTGAAATGCTCTGACTAGGGGTTAAAAGAGAAGTGAAGGAAAGGAAGTTCCTACTTGTATACAGTGCCCACAGCCTAGGGGCTGGAAGAAGGCATACCTTGCTTGTAAAGTGCTGTAGCCTCTAGCAGGGCTAGGCCCCAGGCAAACTTGGAAGAAGGCAGACCAGGCAAGGAACCAGGTAACGGGCATTCCTGACTGTTATATGCCCTGCCGTGCTTCTTGCAGGGGTGGCTGGGGAGAGTGGGGTGCTAACTCTGCCATTAGCCTTCACCACCCACCAACCACCTCTTGTCCATACAAAAACCAACACCCAACTAATATTGCGGGACTGACCCGCTCACAGCTGAAGGTTATGGGCCAATGGAGTTTATTCAGGGTTGTGGCCCCAGCCTGGGCTCCTCAATGGAAGTCACACCTTGATTGAGCCTGGGAGTTTCTTGCTGGGGCAGGGGGTGCTTCCGTCTGCCACCTCCCAGGGTCACACCTCATAGAGGATCACAGGGAAATCCACGTGGATGCGGGGGGGATCCAGCTTCACGATGCCCTGCCGTGGAAACAGAGGCTAGTGAGGGTCAGCGCAGGGCCTCTACTTCAGGAAGCTTCCTTGTTCCTCCCAGATCCCCCCCCACCATGACAACAGATCCCATCTGGGTCTACCTCTATACGCTTACTGTAGGCTCTGTGACCACTGCCCAGCCCCTCACCTGAGGAATCAGATTCTTATGCACTCGCCTCAGCTTGGCCCGCTTTTGCCCGTTCTTGGTGACGATTGTCTCCTCATAGAACTCGTGAGCGAGATCCCCATCCTCATCATAGAACATAGAGCTGCGCAGAGGGAGAGGGGAACAGGCTGGGTTGGAGCCCCACACCTAGGCATGGCAAATGTCGCAGGCCACAGGGAAGTCTGTGGTCTTCCTAACCCAAGTGGGAAGAAAAGAGGATAATATGCCTGGAGAATCCTTTTTTAAAAAAATTTTTGCCGGGTGCGGTGGCTCACTCCTGTAATCCCAGCACTTTGGGAGGCTGAAGCAGGTGGATCACGAGGTCAGCAGATCGAGACCATCCTGGCTAACACAGTGAAACCCCGTCTCTACTAAAAATAACAAAAATTAGCAGGTCGTGATGGTGGGCGCCTGTAGTCTCAGCTACTTGGGAAGCTGAGGCAGGAGAATGGCGTGAACCCGGGAGGCGGAGCTTGCAGCGAGCTGAGATCGCGTCACGGCACTCCAGCCTGGGCGACAGAGTGAGACTCCGTCTCAAAAAAAAAAAAAAAAAATTTTTTCTGGAGACAGTCTCACTCTGTCGCCCA